CAGTTGTTTTGAATGGATTTCTTGCTTAGAATAACCAGTTAAAAGATTTCATTAACTAATAGGTTTACTTCATAAAAATCATAAGAAATGCAACACAAAATTCAGCGCAGTCATATCCTAGACTGAACAACATCGCAAATACGAACGCATCAAGGATATTAACAAGCTCTTTCTTAGTAACTTATAGCTACATTTATAGGCAGTGAAGTTCGTGACAAAAAACCAAGTAGAATCAGATGAAATTCAGTCTGTAATTATGCTGATTAGAAAATGTAGTGAACCTATAGTTGTATTTTCCAATAAATGGAAGAAAAAGTGTGAGTATTTTACTGATATTTCACTATTTACTGTTTGTAACAATATCTACGTAATATAATAATATTAATCATAATCACTTTATTCCAAGCAACATGTGTGATGCATTGTGGAATTTTCAGTAGGTAATATTCCAAAAAATACGCTACCAGTAAGATATTTTTTAAAAGAAATCGCTGTGGCATCTGAACAGTGTCAATAATAAAGGAAGTAAAGACATTAATGTGAAGTGGGTAGCTGGTGTTATAGGGGCCTGTAGTTTGGAATTAGAGATGAATGCAAATGGAGAGTAGTTCTAGTGGTGGTATGTCAGTCACCTTGTACAGAAATCCGCAACTCGATGTGGGTATCCAAAATGTATTAATGTACTGTATTTTTGAGCATTTATATGTCTATTTCAATGTGGCTTAGTGTTTTCGTTTATTTGGTACGTAGCTAAGGAAACCAGAGTTTGGATACCTTTTAAATAGGTGCAGAAGTACATGATACATTTACAAGATATATTTAGTCGATGAAAACAAACAGAAAGGAAAGAATTTGACGAAATATATTCCGTGGAAAAATGTTTGGTAGCCCAAGCAGGTCAGCAAATTTTTTACGGGTTAACATGGATTTACACAATTCGAAATTATACTTGACAACCTGATCAAGGGTGTGTTTGGATAATTTTGCATTACAATTAGTTAAAAATGATATTTAATATACTTATTTGTGTTAAGAGTGAATGGTTCGGGAATTATGGATCTATATTTACATGTGAATATGCAATTATAAGTTTAACTGCATTTGTTTTCTTATGTTCATTTATCAAGGAGAATCGACTCTTGCTCAACCCATGGTTTACTACATTCTTTTTCAGGCAACTGTGCCAAGAGAAACCCATTTTTATCAATGAAATCTTTGGTAATAAATTCAAGATAGTCATAATCTTTCTGGAGGCCTGATAAGAAGGCACTAATAGTTTTGGCTGAAGTATTTTCAAACTTTTTGACGTCTGCTAAGAGTTATTTACGGCTAACAGTTCATGAGTTTTTTAATGAGGACAAATTATAAAGTTGGAATTACATTTGCTTTGAAGTTTCTTTAGTGATTGGATTGGTTATACGGGGTAGGGTTGCTAGTCCTATGCCCAACCTTTTCTCTATATCTGAGCTTAAGACCAGCTAGCAACTAGTGAATGTGTCAGTTGTCTTATCACAAGTATTTCATATGCTTAGAATATCTTAACATTGAAATTATAAGTTTCATATCATTGTTGATAAGAATGTAGATCACATTCTTGTTGAGTTCATTATCAAGGTTAAAATATCTTTATTACCATATGACTGCATGTCTCACGGTGATGGAAAAAGATGCTAATTGGAAACCAATCTACCAGTTTCATGTTATTGAAGTCACCAGGTTTTCAAATGGTAAACAATTTTTTATTCAATTGTGTGATACCATAGATTATGATTTACATTTACTCTGTTGATAAAGTTACTACACTAAGTATTCGAATAAAGGCTCCATCGAAAAGGGTGTATTTTTACTTGTATAATCCCGGTGTAGTATATTAGAGCAAATAACAAAATAAACCAACATTATATATTTTTGAGATGAAATATTTTGTATTATTCCTCAACGTTTCGATCATGCTAGGAAGATCCTTTCCAAGAGTATCAATCTGACATTAAGTTTCCAGGTTAATATTCAACTTTTGGTAACGGTGATGACTTTTACTACTACCCAATTACATCGTGATATGGAACAAAGATCAATGTAATTCAGGTGAGTGAATAAGCGAATCTGTCAGAGAGGCTTTTTTCAACTGTGCGAGTAAGGTGGAACAAAAATAAGGTGGGGAAATTTAACTCGACTATGAAAAGTACGATAGAGTGATGAATCACCAAGGATGAGAAAGAATAGATTACTAGTTTAGAAGGATGAGTATTTGAACATCAGACAATATATAATCAATAAATAATAATAATGATAACGGTAAAGGTACTTTGATAACAGTTACAGTATGCGCGATCGCAAAAATAATTACTTGCACAATTGAAAAAGGCCTCTCTGACAGATTCGCTTATTCACTCACCTGAATTACATTGATCTTTGTTCCATATCACGATGTAATTGGGTAGTAGTAAAAGTCATCACCGTTACCAAAAGTTGAATATTAACCTGGAAACTTAATGTCAGATTGATACTCTTGGAAAGGATCTTCCTAGCATGATCGAAACGTTGAGGAATAATACAAAATATTTCATCTCAAAAATATATAATGTTGGTTTATTTTGTTATTTGCTCTAATATACTACACCGGGATTATACAAGTAAAAATAACCCTTTTCGATGAATCATACTAACTCGGTGGGGTGATTTTAAGGGCCACTCTAGCAACGATTGGAATAGCCAATTAGGTTTCTTCTTCATTACGGTTGGAAAGATGGATTGTAATAAAACAGAGCGGCCTGGTTGGTAATTTTAGTTGTTGCTAGGTTGGCCTTTGAAGTCACTCAACTCGGTGACCAAGTTTTTTCATACCATCCAGTCCATTGTTGGTCAGGCTACCTTCAAGGGAAAGGGTGGTGAAATAATGCAAACAATCAATGAAATTATGATGTACTGTAAAACCCTGTAAAGTGAGAGATTTATTGTGTTAAACAGTAAATAAAGTTCCGACTGGTTTACTGAGACATATTTTTTGGTTAATGTTCGTCACGGACTGATATCAGTTGGCGAAACAATGAAATTGCGGGAGCACCGGACAACTGCTTCGTCGTGGTATGAGATTCCCCAGCACTGCGCACCCATATTCCGGGATAAAACAGCTATCCTCTGCTCCCAGGTTTTCAGTGTGTATACATTCATGTCGTAGCTCTGGACCTTGAATTGATGTGTTCTGCTTCCATATTTCAGTGGGAACAGTATTCCTCACTGGAAGGTACGTAGATCCAACTGAGGTGTTCTTAATGAAACAAAACTCACCTCCTGGATTTTACTGCTAGTCAGTACTCATCATCATTACTTTTTTCATATTTTAATCGTACTTTTATTTCATCAACGGTTATGAAGAATATGACTTTCTTAAGCCAGTAAAATTCTTATTAGCTGGAATTACTTTGTAATTAGGCTGTGGAGTAAATGTGTTTTTTTATTTTTATTCAATTATGCAGGTAAAAACTGAACGTTTAATGGAAAATGTGCAGCTTCAGTAATGAAGCGATACTTACTGCATAAAATACGATAGATACTAGATTCAAGTCTCTGTGGCAGCATTGATACAGCTGTGTGTAAATCCCAGTGATCAGCTTCAGATGTCACAAAGGGCACATCTTAGATTTTACGACCATCTACCACCAGGCTACGCAAGAACAAACTGTTCTTAAGTTATGGAAAAAACCAATGAAAATACATTGAAGTTACAGTGCCAAGTACTTTTCTCATATTTTTTCTAGAATTTATTGATTGCCCTTTTTACATAACTGTTAGCTCACGGCTTAAATACTGCTTTTAAAATCAAAACAGCAATCCACTTACTGAGTCATTCTGATTAGAAAACATGTTCTTGATAGCAAATGAACTTGACATTATGAACTGAAGGGTGATTATATTTGATCAGGATAAACGTTTATTTATCTGATGAAAGTAAGAAATCCAGTGGGCATTGTGTACGGTTATTACCCAAAGATCACTGCAATGACTGAAAGTTAACACAGTTGGTTACACTGGTATAAAACACTCCATGAATTCAGAAATCTTTGATAGGAACGCTTTAATAGTTGTAAAATTTCTGCACATCTCTGTCAGTAGCATTGTCACACAATAAAACTTGTTAACTAATTAGTTTATCCTAGGTTCCTATCGATCTATATTTTTCATTATGGAGTGAGTTTTGAATTTGTTGTACTAATATTCCATTACTATCACTCTATCTAAGCCAATTTGTAACACTGTATTAATATCAGTGTCTTATCACTTAAGGTCTAAAATTTCAAACAATAGTTGAAAAACTGGGAAAGTATGTTTTCCTCAGTTACAGTGATGACTTAGCCTAAACAGATGTCAATATTTTGACCATTATGACTCTTGTTTCTGTTGTGTTAGGACATCAAAGTCTACAGGATTTTGGCTTTGAGTGAAATAATTTTCCAGTGGATTAAGATAGAAACGCTTCTTTGGTCAATTCCTAATGGTTATTCTCATATAGGTTTAAAGTAATTGTGCTGCAAATATATACTACAGTGGAAAATTTTCTAGTTCCGTTTTTGTTTCTGTTTTACATAACTCAAACTTGATCCATAGCTGAATTTTTAGATAGATAATTTCGACCTTTTTGAAATATAAAACTTTCTGTAAATTTTTGAGCTAATTAGTTAATTAATCGCTTAGTTATTAAGATACGGCAAACAAGTATTTCTCAAAAAAACCTCAGAAACCTGACAACAATACTCAGACACAATCCTACAAGTGAAACCATGGGACAGAAAGAGTGGAGATTGGCTAAAGTATGCATAGCTCATTTATTCGGTAGATTTTATATGCGTAGGAGTTGACTCTACAATCACATTGAGTAGGTTAGTTAGTCTTTCAATGCGTGTGAAAATTCAGTTCACGGACAGGGGGCGTACACGCGAATACGCATACACTCATACACACACTGAAAACATGCTTGAACAGTTTATTGCAATCATGTTAACCAATATTTCGATGGGAATTCTTGTGAATGATTTGAGTATATATAAATTTGTCATTATTCACCTGATTACTTTTTACACGAAATCAACAGAAAAAAATTCCCTAAATGTTTATCAGTTCGCTCACTGATTCTTCATATTGCCATTATTCTACTACAACTCATGGTAGTGAAAACGATGAGAATATCAAAGCTAAAGAATTATTTATTCATTTAAACAAAATAATTTATTGGATTAGAGCAAAATATAATACTGGACAAATGAGCAATACCTTATTAGGTCTTTCATTAATAAAGTTAAGCTTACCGCCCAGTAGTTTGAGAAAATTGTTAGACAATTCCACTATGGTCCCAATGAACACTTCTCTGGTACCAGGGATGGAGAACAAGCATAACTACAATCCATGTATTCTGGAAAAAATTAATAACGATGACAATGGAAATTTTGGGGATTCAAAGACCACAAAAAGACCTATATCTGCTACCAATAACAGCAGTCATATAAGGGTAAAAATAAAAAACCATTTACTGCATAAAATAATACATATTATACTGTTAAGCTTCTTATTCAATCAAACTTTATTAAGCATCAATAAAAATATCTGCGTAGATGGGATGCGTCTACCTGGAGCAGATTTGGCTCTATCACCATCATCACAGGAATCGGATTCACGAAGACTACCATCGTATTGGGTTGACTCACCTGTGGTGAAATTGCTTAAAACTCAGAAAGATTACTTGGATGATTCGTTGCAATCCGAAAATAAGATCAAGCATAGAATATCATCAATTTTTGAAGATAAACAGGCTATACAAGATTTACTAAGTGAAATGAATGCATATTACTTAACCTATGGTAGACCGAGGTTAGTTTACATGTAAACAAACTTCTTTGTAATGGATCCCTTTTTTACTTGTATTTTATTCGTGGTCATTCATCTGCATTCTGTAAATTGATTGCTAGTGTTGAGTGACAATACAGTAAGTCACTCACCAGATTGCGCTGAAGCTTATGCAGTCAACTTTCAACTGCAGGTTGTATTGATGGAATCTTCCATTATGCGAAGTATCAGACTTATTGAGTTGGAATGCATTTGATCATGATGGGTTTATATCACTTTGTTACTTATATTTGTCAGCTTTTCAGCTAGTTGTTAAACATGGCCAGTTAGCCAATAAAATTTTCACCGTTATGCTTTTTTAACTTAACACCATAGGTCATCACATTTTAAGTCAATGATGGCATCTAAATAGTGGTCACTTGTTCACTATTTCTTATCCAAAAAGCACTTAACAATAAAAACATATTGCTTTTCGCTTTATTCAAATGAAGAAGACCATTACTTAATGGTTTCGATTAATAGGTAAAACGTAAGAGGTAAATTAAACTTTAATTTCACTTACACTTTATTTTCACCTGAATTACTTTATTATTTTGGATTTTCTCACCTTATTGAGCGGTACTCATCACTCAGATAAGTGTAGTCGCAATTTAAATGCAGCTGCTTTCATTATTCTGACTTTGTAAACTAGTTACCTCTCAGGCCTTTGCTTTGACAAAGATTGATTTCTGTATCTCCTACAGATAAAGATGGATTTGGTGTCAATCAAAATTTCTGATTCCCTGCCTATTTCCCCCTTCATTATATCGATTAATAATGCTATCACGCTGGGAAGTGTGTTTATGTAGTCCTGTACCAAAATCGTTTTACTCATTTCATTTTCAAACCGTTCAGAAGTATTAGCAGCAGATGGTAAGTTCTTATTCATCTTTATTGGTTGTTGAATGACCTGCTAAAAGTTATCACACATGATAAATGTAAAGTCCTTGAAAAATAAATAAGTAAATAATAGAATTGACAAGTTATACCGACTTCGAATGTTTAATTTCGTGAAAGCTGTTTATTAAGAACAAACTCCTAAGTAATTGCAAACACTTTGTGATTAAGTAGAAAAAGCTTTTTAAGATTTCTCAAGTTTATTGGTAGGAATGTATCAAGTTAGTCGGCTCAAAAAATGGATCAAATTGATAATGTAATCTGAGAATATTTATACGCTTTTCATATTTCTTTTTGCTCAAATAACTTTTAATTCAGTGATAGAATACAGATTAGGCAAACTTTACCGCTTCAAATTCACCTGAATTATTTTTTCCAAGGCAAGTTAATTTCCACAAAGTTGACTATTATGCTCATGGTTAAATTTATGTACTATACATAGATTTGGGGAACTTGCTGAAAGTTGTCTACTTTGTAATGCTTAGTGACAGTAAGATCACTCTGAGGAATTCACTGTAAGCAAATATCCCATAGTTATTCGGTTTTAATCTCTTAACTAGCATGTATCAAACCTCTCAACAGTAAAGACGGTTTGCTTTAAAATCTATAAGAACAGTAATGTATTGGCTTTACAACATCGGTTAATATCTCTGTCTACATTTTCATGTTGAATAAATTGAAAATTCAGCAGCAAGTTACTGATTAAGTTGAAGATATTTTCTTTGTGACAGATTCAAAGCATACATTTTGGACAATGAATCAATTACATACAACTTATATCTACAGTAATTAACATCGTGGTGGGTGGCAATGGTATTCTGGATTAACGTTTCATCCTGTTTGTGACTTATCAGTTAAATATATCTTCATAGGACGCCATAAGCCGACGAAGGCTAATCATTTAAATACAGTAAAACAATGGGAAATTACAAGTACCAAACCATGATTATATCTTCGGGTTTCAAAAGGAAATTGTGTGTGCTGGATAGAAATTATGCTGGACTTTGACCACTAAGCAACATATGACCTAGTGATTTCTTGAGTTTTATAGGATTGCACCAGATGCGTGGAATACGGATATAGTATACAGAAGATACTTGAAGTCAGTGTCAGTAAAATGATTTTAGCTACTTTATGATATTATATCATTAACATGCGAGTAACTGGAACACAGCAAAATTTCACAAGATCTATTCTTCTTACCTGGTGTAAGCGACAGTAAACGCTAAAGTTCGCCTTTAGACTTTATTATTTGTATTTTAATCAGTAAGTAAAATAAAAAGGATAATCAGACACTTCTTGCATGAACTTAAAAGTTCATCGCTTTTTGTTTGTAAGCATTGTTTATTTAGGATTTTTAGCGGAAATGCAGTAAGAAACTGTGAGAACTTGAATCAGATTTTTGTCCTGGTTCACAACCGGTCGCTAATGAAGACACTATTTTGAATAAGTTTATTTGTAATAATCCGTAGTGGATGACCATTTGATCACAACTTATGTTTCATAATCATATGACATTGTTATCTATAAGTAGTGGTGAAATTAACCTCAAAATTTATCTGTTTAAATGTTTTTATGAGTTAAACCACTACAGAATTTTTGAACAACTCTTCATACCTGATTGTATCTTTAAACTGATAGTTATTCCAAGAATTTACTTGAAAAAGTAACACAACACTAAGAAAATGAAAGTGATGTCTAATGCTTGACTTTTTTCCAGTTCCTGAAACAAACTGAAACTAAGCGAGTTTCATTTCACGGACGCACAACAAGCACAAAATATTTCGCACTAAATTCAGCTTTATTTCCATTGTACGAGGGATGACGTTTAACTTAGCTGCTGATGATGAATAAACTTTGAATATTTAGATAACGTGGTTGATTGAAATATGTTTTTGTGTCATACCTCTAATACACTCACTCATCAAGGGTTAGGATGTAAAATTAGAAAGAGTTCAGTTTAAAGATAACATTATGCGAAGCGTAAGAATTAAAAACCCAATTTGAGAGGAATAAAAGGTACTGAAAATAACCATGGTAATAAGATGTAGTAAGTATTATTAAAGCAAATTTAGCCCAAAGGCAATGTTTTTATCAGCAAATATAGCGTACTTTATTATACGAATGGATATCTTTTCAACAAGCCTAAATACATGCTTATGTTAGTTTCTATGCTAAATTGCAAAAGCTATTTTAATGTCAGTCATATGAGCTTATCAACAATGTGTTCTTTATTGAACGAAGATGGTTGTCATTCGTTTGCGCTTACCGATTTTGATGAATTCAGCTATTTTTCCAGAGTTTGACTACATGCTCCATCACCCTGAAAGGCTTTTATCAGAAAGTCTGTCCTACGTAAATGGGTTCACATACATGCACAAAATGTAAACCAGTAACCTCAATGCGATGTCATACAGTCGTCAGTATGGTGATGACGTTAGAGCTGAAAGATCTAATTGAATGGCATATTTTGTCGGTGACATAACTTAGCATGTGTTTCAAAATAACGTTTCATCTTTTGAAAATGGCACTTTACCACACCTTTCGTATACTTGATTGCTACTCACCTGAGTTTTGTTTCTTGCAAATCAGTCGCTGTATTAAACCTTATTTTCTACAAGTCAGGAGTATATCCATGACTGATGAGTGGTTAGTCTTTTCTGACTCATATGTAAAATGCTTATAGCACTGTATGATATCAAGCTTCCTGATAAACACGTTGCTTTACATATAATACAGCTAAACCATCATCACATCTCTAATAAACCTTAATTTAAGCAATCAAACCGTCAGACAAACTTTCAATAAATGATGTGTAACTTACAGTTAGATATGGGACACCTAATCACCAAGCCATCAACCTGATGAATATATTTCTCTTCAACAGAAAAATAAACCTAATCAGTGCCTAATAATACAAGCTGTTTTAGGAAGGTTGATGGAATTTAGAAAGAGAAAGCACCATGGATATGTTGTGACAAATAAACGTTGTTGACAATGTCAAGAGTTTTCTAAATGCATGGGGCAAACACACCAAATTTTCACATAAGCTTCATCTTCTCAGAACACATTTCGACTCCATGAAAAGTTTGGTTCCTCAAATTTTTAGGAAATACCACACTCTACACACTCTAGTAATGGTTTAAATAAACTATTTAGCCTAAAATCTATAATAGGAAAACTGTTAATCAACTGTTTTATAGTTCTGTATTGTAAGTAGTCTGACTGAAACTCTTAGTTAAATTATAGAAAAAGTGAATATTTCATATCATGAACTCTAATCATTAAATTCAGCTGTTATATTTCAGATGAAATCACCATATATCGAGAAATACCTCGTATACGATTGTAAGCGAATATCTGCTATTGAGAACAGAACCTAAATGTAAATCATTAGTAGTAGGAAAAGGTACTTTTTTTAACGAATATGGAGAAAATACTCAGGTTTGCTTTTGACTGCGTTACCCATAGTTCACCGTTGAAGTAATCTCTAGTCCCTCTTCTGTCATAGAAATACACAAAAAACTGCAGATAATGCTTTCCAAACATATATACCCTAAGAAACAAACAATTACGACAAAACTTGTTTGTATTCGCAAAAAATGAATCATTGTCTGCAAATGGTAATGTTGTTGTCACATAAAGTGCTGTTAATATTAAGAAAATGGAAAGAGCGCGAAAGTTGTAGGTGCTTTAATATCGTAAAGAAGATTTACACTGAAGAATCAATTTAAGTAGTATCGTATAAAAATAAAAAAAGCACAACCGAACTCTTGATAAAGAAAGCTGAATCCTTAAAATGAAGGTCACGTTGAAAGATGGACTTTAAAATAATCATTATTTCCTAAAAGATTTCATGAGATGAGATGAAGAGAACTAGCTCTTGTAATTATATCAACGTGATGATTAAAATTAAGGTTTCTGTTGATTTATCTTTAGTGGTTTCCGTAATATGCTGTGTTGTTACTGAATTATATTGAAGTTATACCATTTCGTAAATGAAAACCGGAAGTGGAAAGTTTACTGCTAGCGGAAAAATTGTTACCTTGTAATAAAATTGTATTATTTGCCGCTGAAAGTTACAGATA